AAATCATTGATGGGAGAGTGTGACCATCTAACCCAAATAAAAGGAATTGCACTTTCATCAATTTTTAATTTAAAATCTTTAATTGGTCGTCAAAGGGACATCAATTAAATTAACTACTAAATTAGTTTTTAGGTAAAGTAAGCACATTGGGCCCTCTTTCCGACCTTTCTATTTCCTCCACACATTTAGTAGTTGATCATATCTCTTTCTTCATTATCGACCCATTTTGTATTTCCCCTTTGACAACTATAGTATGTCCATTTGTAATTTTTGTACTTCTTCACGAAATGAAGTATATACTATTAAGGAAAGATAATCTAATTAGAAGTTCTTAGAGGAGTTTAGATTAAATGTCATGTCTCACCTTTTTGGCACACATCTTTCTTGTTCAATAAAAAATAGTGTTAGTCAGTATTTCGCATATCAAAGTATAGTGTAGTTGTGCAATAATTGCTATTGCATAGATATCAAAAATATACTTCTATTGTTTGATGAAAAGGTTTTATAGAATGTGCACGCAATTTTTTTAACATTCCCGATTGAAGAAAATTGAAAAAATTTAAGACTAAAATTTTGATTTCTAGTCTTCAATTTCCCTTATTATTATCAATTCTTGCACCATTTGTTCGGTGTGCTTATATTTATTTATTTGAACTGCTTATTAATTTTGAATAAGAAACAACTGATTTCTTGTTTTAGCAGGCCATTAATATCTTCGATCTTGGAGGCCCTCAATATTTGAAATTCTGAATAATTGTCAAAGATGTTGTACATGTTCGAACATTATTGTGGTCCTAAACCACATGCAAAATTTGCACATTTAAAACAATACTACAAACATAATGAATAATACTACTCATTCAAGAAGAGGGTCCTATGTTATTGTCGGATCTCATCCCGGGTCCCCGACCCCACCGCTACCCGCTTCAGTCCAGATCTTGGGACTAATTGCATTTCAGTCCTTGGCGTATTACATGTTTTTACTGTTTCCCTATTTAATTTTATATTAGGATTATTATTATGGACGTTACTCTTGGGTGTTTTGGTTATTTCATAAAATATGAAACTTGTGTCTAGTTCGATCCCAATAGTTCAATCCCAAAATTTAGCTCATGAGGTGAGAACTGTCACAGACACTATAAGGAGACCTATTTGTTAACTCCCACCCGACGTGGGACTCAACATATCGAGATTAGAAAACTAAATTTGATAAAAATAAAATTATATATTATACACCCAAGAGTGTAGCTTAGTGGTCAATGAAGTGGGTGGAGAACCATGAGGTTTCATGTTCAAACCCTAGCAGAGACAAAAAACACTAGGTTATTTCTTCTCATTTGTCCAAGTCTTTGGTGGACAGAGTTACCTAATAACTATTGTTGGTGCGAGGTAGCATGTATCTCCTGAAATTAGTCGAGGTGCATGCAAACTGGCTCGGACACCACTGTTATTATACAAAACTATATATTATACAAAAATAATTTTAGAGATTTTGCTTAAGATTTGTTTTTATAGCACATATCTTCATTGTGGTTTAATATGTTACATTTACTATCCTATTTTGATTAATTGTGGGATGCTTCATTTTGTTACGCAAACCTCACCCCAATTCCCCCTATGCTAACTGGTGTAATATCCTTAAGTTTACTGGATTAATAATGTTTTCATCATATTTCATTTTACTTAATATGGAAGTTTAAGCATGAAGATAATGTAGCTATATCACTTTTTCTTCGGATTAATTCAATGAACATGACTCCCTTTTTTATTTCTTTCTTTTTTTGCATTAGATTTTCATTCCTCCGCCCGTATTGCTTATGTCAGAAGCGCAATACAAAACAAGGGTTGACTGGAAACTTAGTTGTAAAACTACTACTACGTAGTTATTACTATTACTATATACGAATATGTTAGCTGCAGCTGTAAAATTTAAATCTTACTAAGCTCTTTCTTTTTCTTCATTTTTCCCTCCACGCGAGACCACGACTATCCCATTCAATAGAACATAAATAATTAAAAATGTTTATTTAATTATTTCGACCAATTATATGTTCGCCTATTACACGGCCCTGTGATTGGATGCAATGAAATTTACATTTTATAGTATAATTTCCTAGGCCAAGACAGTTACTGTTACTTGGACACCTTTTATTTCTTTTTTATAGTACTCTATCCTGTCCACAATAAGTGATGTTTTGGCTGTTTTCACACAGATTAAAAAATTTACCTTTTAACATTAATTAACAATAAAATTAACCATATTATCCTTTACTATCTTTTCAAAGAAAAACTCCTAACACATACTCCAACACTATTTACTCCAAGAGCAATGTAAGAAAAAAATAATTAATTTATTCTTAAAATATGAAAAAATCAGATATTTTTGGGCCACAAAATAAAGGCCAAAAAATTACTTATTGTGGACAACTTTTACTAACTCATCAAATTGTTAGCTAACCTTCAGCTATCTCTAAGGATGCCATCTGGAGACAAAACTCTAAGTTTGTGCTTAAATAATGTGAACTTTACATAACTGTCACAATTTAAAAGAAATATAATAAATTCGTAGCATGAAATCCAATATTACAATTGTGGAAGGAAAATATTTATATTTGTAGCACACAGTTTCATTAAAATAGGAATATTAATTATTAATCTCTAAACATAAGCAATTTGAATGGAAAGTCAATAATTCTTGGTACAAAATCATGCCTTTTTTTTTTCTCTTTATCTATTAGTTTTCCTTCTTTTTCTTCATCTTCTTAATTTTATTTTCTATCGAAACCAATATATTTTCTAAAGTTGTTCCAATCATTTTCTTTTTAATTATCTTTCGTAAATTTTTCTCTTGTTTCTTTCTTCCTTTCTTAACATAAAAATCTTACTTCGATAATAATATACGTTAATATATACAAAACGTCAATTAAGATGACACTTAGACATGTGAAATATACATAAAATAATATATCTTAAATTTAATTAAGATGACATATAAATATACAAAAAATCTATATATAAAAAATACATCCTGAATTAAAATGGCACTTGACATATAAAATATATTTGAAATATACATTAAAAATACATCTTAAAATAAGATGGCACTTTTAAGATGGCACTTCACAAATAAATATATAAAAATTATATATATAAAAATATATTTTGAATTAAAGTGATACTTGATATACAAAGTATAAAAGACGTATAAATCAATACATCTTGAATTTAGGTGGCATTCATATATGCATTAGATTTTTAAAAATGGAGTGAAGAAGATGAATGTTTGGCTTAATTTTTGTAATATGCTAATAATGAAAAAAAAATATTCTTTATGGAATAAACAATAAATGATACTAATTTTTTAAATAATAGTTAAAAAGGATCAGGTGTGTAACTAATAATTAATCATATCAACATAATTGCGTTATTCTGGAACTATAAAAAATAATAATAGAAGACTCTGCGATGTGGACCGCCAAATAATCAATTAATTGACTCAATCTTGTTAGGCCTTCCAAGTTTATCCACGTATTTTATTTACAGAACATCTTAATCTTTTAATCATTATATAATTGTTTGTTCGACATTAGTTAGAATTGTTCTTTCGTTTTAAGAGAAAAATCTTTAGTTTGACAGCTTACAAGGATTAAAAGAATTGTATCTCAGCCCTTACCTCACATGGTTAGTTGAATAACAAATTAAATAATTAGAAAATAATGCATATTCAATAATTCTCTGCTGATTACAAAGTATTTGACAACCTACATGACTCCATCATGTTATTAAAAATGAGATTTCCATTATTGTTAACGAGAATGTTAAAACTCAATAAATGATACTCAATCTTCGCAAAAGGCATCAACTGTTGATACATGCATATCAAAATCTTATCTAATTTTTTAGATGAAAGAAAAGTACTTAGCGTCAAAGGTTCTTTTTAATATCTTGTGCATTTAAATATCATCACATAAAATCAAAAGAAGGGAAAACTGAATTTTTGTTTTTGTGGGAAAATTACTTGTACGTATGAGTTTGCATAGCATTTGATCTTATGTATTTGGACATGACTTCTTTTTAAAAAGCTAAAGGTTTTTTTAGGAAAACATTGTTATTTCACTCGAAATATTCCTCAAAATAAGCTTTTACCATTATTTCAAATATTGATATACAGATAGTTAGGATTCAGCTTACAAATAATGACTTTAATATTTACAAATGAATATGACTGGAGTCTATTGGAAACATCCTTTCTACTTTCACAAGGTAAGAGTAAGGTCTGTGTACACATTATCTTTCACGAACTCACTTGTAAGATTACATTGGATTTGTTGTTGTAATAGGATACGACGGTTTGATATCCTCAACATGTATAAAAAGGATAGTGCTCGTCCTCCTCGCACTAGAACGGGTAAAATAAGATTTGATCCTCATTACTTGTATCATTTCTTTTTTGAGCTTCAAAAAATAAAATGCTTACCTAAATAGTATGAATTCAAAAAAGTATTTGCAAGTGAGTCATGGCCAAATAATTGGAGAAAAAAAAATCTTAACGAAATCCAGGTCAATATAGACATTTGAGTAAATGTGCATAAATAATTTAAGAAAGAACTACAGGAACGAAGGAAGTTGGACACCACATGTTTAACGTACACTCCGTGTATGTCACTGTACACAATAACCAAACTCCTCTAACTTGTCTTCTCTTTCCCTTAAAAGGATCTACTAACGTAATCTTCTAATGGATTCTCATCTTTTCTCTCGATTTCTCAGCTCGGAATTTCGTCATTTTCCGGCAATCTGTTTCAGCTTTTCAGGCTTCTCGATAAGTCTCTGATTCTAGTTGAACACTCATTTCTCCGACCATATTCCACCGGAAGTAAAACCAAGGTGGTTCACATGGTCTTTCCTTTTTGTCAGTTCAAATAACATACGGGTGTTAGGTTAATCAAGTTTTATTCATTTCAAGGGAAAATTTCTTTTTCTTTGTTTACCAATAAAATGAAGAAAAGGGATAACTTTTTGAAATTTCCTATAGTCTGTTCCAAAGCTTTTTGGGTTTTGGTTGTTATAGGAGTTATTTAAGTCCTCTTCTTATCTAATTCTGTTTGGTAATTGAGAAAACGGTAAAAAAAGGACAAACTTTTTAAAGTGTTACGCATTTGTCTGTCCTTTTTATGCAAAAAATTCCATGGGTAGAATTCTATAGATTTAGTGGATTGATGGGTGTCTGTTCATTCTTCTGACATTTTTCTGCTGATGGAATTCCAAGTGGAATTTGAATATTCTCTGCTTTTCTTGCACTGTTAAAAGGTTCTTTAATCTCACTTCAGATTCATCATTTTTGGATATTTCTGTATTTTAAAACCCTCAGATGCTTAACTTTCTGAGTCAGATCACATCTCTTTTTACCTCAGCTAAGTATATCCAATTACTTGGCTTCATGTGATGGTCTATGTGTATGTTAAATCACTTTTTACTAAATATGATATGCATATTTTGAGGGTTGTTGTACCTATAAAGCTCAAGAATTTTGTCTATCTGCTGCAGGAGTATTTCATATTTGGGTAGCTAAGGATTAAGCTCTAAATGGGGCATTTCTCTTCAATGTTTAATGGATTGGCAAGGTCTTTTTCCTTAAAGAAAAGAAGGAATTGTACTGGGAATGGGAAATATGATGGTAGAGAAGCTGTTGAGGCTATGGCTAAAGAAGCCAAGAAAAATGACTTGATATTAAGGTCTTCTGGAACTGTAAATGTTGTTGGCTCTAAAAATTTTGCTTCATTATTCTCTAGGAGAGGTGAAAAAGGAGTGAATCAAGATTGCTTCATTGTTTGGGAGGTATGCTTCCACTATTAGCCTATTTATGATTACTAAATCTCCTCTTTGTTCTATACTAGTCTGTGGATCTTTTTAGTTGTGATATCTATGATTGTAGCAGTAGCTTTTGGTAAATTCTTTTTTTGGTAATGGGTGACAGTAAATAATCAAGCTCAGGACCTATGTCTTGAAACTATATTGAAGTGTGCGACCAATTCATTTAAAAGCTTAATTTGTTAGCGAGAGCAGACATTTATTTACTTAATTATGTCTCAACACTATATCGTAACAGATTGTTTTTGGCATTGTGGGAATGACAGGAATTTGGATGCCAAGAAGATATGATATTCTGTGGTATATTTGATGGGCATGGTCCATGGGGTCATTTTGTGGCGAAGAAGGTTCGAGAATCGATGGTATCTTCGTTGCTTTGCAATTGGCAAGAGAGTCTAGCCGAGGCTTCAGTTGATCCCGATTTAGATTTAGATTCTGATAAGAAGCTTCAAAGGTTTAACATATGGAAGGACTCATACCTAAAGGCATGTGCAGCTGTAGATCAGGAGCTGGAACACCATCCTAAGATAGATACATTTTACAGTGGAACCACTGCTTTGACAATAGTCAGACAGGTAATTCTGTTAGCTCTTGTTTTTTTTTCCTCTTCCTTTTTGGGAATCATCAGTGTTGTAATTCTTGTGTGGTTATCCTTTTCTTTACCAACTTGGCTTTGTAAAGTGTCAGCCACTAACCTTGTTTTTCAAACGTACTGTGCTTTTGGGTGTTCCTCGATATAAGAAATATACTGAATTATTGTATTCTCAATGTGTAAAGGGAGTTCTTTTACAATGGCAGTTCACTTGTATTTCCCCTTCTGTTTTTGAGTGCGGAAATGATGTTTTCACTATAACTGTTTGGCATGTTCACCCTGAAATAGCAAATTGTGTATGAGTTTGAAGCCTGATAAATTCCAAGAAGCCAGCATCCTTTCTTTTAAATATTTTACTTTATCCTCTTTTTAGCTTTTGAATGATGGGAATCAAGAAAATTCATTACTATCTTTTTATGTCTCTATAGCAAAATATAGTCCATAGTTTTGTGATCAAGAAAATCTGCTTTTTTATTTATATTGCCAATATATATAGGCTAAATTCTAATTAGATTAGTGTTCATTGTGTTGCAGGGTGAGATTATTTTTATAGCAAATGTAGGTGACTCGCGTGCTGTATTGGCTACCACTTGTGATGATGGCAACTTGGTACCAGTTCAGCTAACTATTGATTTCAAGCCAAATCTACCTCGTGAGTCCTCTGTATACCTTTCTCTGCTCTACTAGACAGAAAACAGCCATATATAAGCTATTTTAATGTTTGTTTTGCAGAGGAAACTGAGAGGATAATACAGTGTAATGGTCGAGTATTTTGCTTAGATGATGAATCCGGGGTGCATCGATTATGGCTGCCTGATGAAGAATCCCCTGGATTGGCGATGTCTAGAGCCTTTGGGGACTATTGCGTTAAAGATTTTGGTCTAATTTCAGTGCCTGATGTGACTCAAAGGCATATCACAAGCAAAGACCAATTTGTTGTGCTGGCAACTGATGGGGTATGTTTTGTGCCTTCTGGGTTGTTCCCAATTTTAGAATTAGTCTAACAAGGACAATCATGTCTTCATCACTAATAGTAATACCGTATTTCTTAATTAGGCACATAGAACAAAAAGTAGGTAGGTCAACAATTGTAAGCATAAGTCAATAGATCGTCAGTTTTTGCTCCTAGGGCTTTGATTTTCTCAAAGAAATTAAAAAGAACTTGTGTGGTGTTGGTTAGACGCACGTCACGAGCTCAAACTGTTCTGCGGATAAAATCAGTATTGAGCCGGGAAAATGATAGAGGGGCGTTCTCATAGTTGCCAGAGTTTGGGTCCTGAGTCTCAAGTAAAGTCGCACCAGAAGCCCAAAGTAGATTTTTCCGAGATAAAAATTGATTAAGATTCATCAGTTTAACACAAGGGCTTGGCCACAATAAACAAATATTGTATTATTATTATTATTATTATTTTTGCAGGTATGGGATGTAGTCTCCAACCAAGAGGCTGTAGAAATTGTATCCACAACTCCAGATAGAGCAAAGGCGGCCAAGTGTCTGGTTCAATGCGCTGTCCGCGCTTGGAAACGCAAGAGAAGAGGGATAGCTGTGGATGATATTTCTGCTATTGTACTCTTCTTTCATTCTAATCATTTCTGTCACCATATTTACCCTGTAACTGCACCAAAATAACTTAATAGCAAAAGCTATTCTCTCTCTCTCTCTTGCTTACATGTTGGAAATAACATAAAACCTTAGATTTAGGTGCTCTTTAACTACATGAAGTATGGGGGAAAAAATGAATCATTTATTGTTTCCGTTTGGAGTAATAATTAATTGAATCTTTAACCCGATCGGATGTAACTCAGATATTGTTGTAGAGGACGCACTCCACTCCTAGTCCACATAGTTTTTGACAGAAAGAAAAATTGCAGCATAAACACCATTAGCGGCAGATCCAAATATAGGGTCGTTGGTCGGCAAAACCCCAAGTTTTGGGCTTGTACCCTGTGTGTGTGTGAAAAAAAAATATTTATAGAGTTTGTTATAAATTTCAAAACTCATTCTCCCAACTCAAAATCCATTACATCTGAATTTTGAATCCGTCACTAGACATAGTCCCCGAGCAGTATTAATTGAGTTAAGATTGTATATATTAATTCTAAATGGCCATGTAAATATGGATCAGATCCATTGTTCTCCATTTAATTAAAAAAAACCATCATGCACTGATTAAGGCAGATTTGAACTAGGCCTTCAACCTCCTTGATTATGTTCTTGAGTTTACTTCCGACTTTTTCCCTGTCATTTCGGCTTTACATTGCTAGGCTTTCCTAATTCGTCCTGCCATGTTCTACCTACACTCTCTTTTCAGATTAAGAATACTTCCAAGTAAGCTAAAGTTTAAAGAACAGACATTCAATGAAGACTAACTGCAATTGGAGAAGTGCCAAAATTTCCAGCTCCACAAGTTCAGGGAAGACTTCCAAACAACCCTAACATAGGACCGGACTAAACAAAGAGTTAAATCCACGTGTGGCTGAAAAGTCTTTGCCCAAGAAAATAAACCCAACTTTGCTACACTCTTTTGTAAACATGGAAATTAAGGCCTATAATCGAACAGCCATGACAGTGATACTATTTGTCTTACACCATTTTACACAGCCAATAATATCAATACCTATATCCAACTTGGTATCTTAGAAGCTAAGGTGAAAAATCAGAACTCAAAAAGTCCTATTAGGGCACTAACTTCTACAAGCAACCCGCCTGATTCAATCACATTAGCTGCGGGAGAATTTAATGCTGAGCCCATTTGCTTATCAAGTTGCTAATTCGATGTGCAACTTATAAAACGTCACTTTCTTCAAGAAGCATATTTTCGCTTTGATGTTCTTATCTCAACTGTTGAAATTGCAAACATGGCTCTTAATTGCAATATTTAGCAGGCAGGCAACAGCTGGAGCCAAGAATCAGAGCAAAGGGCACTTCTCACTCAATGGTTAACTAGGAAAATGAAATGAACCAAACTACATGCATAACAAATGTAGAACTTCTGATTAAAAAAAGATGTACTCGAGTTGAACCTGGCTGCTCATAGAACAAAAGAGTAGATTACTAAGTAATATTTAAGATGAGTGAGATATACATTCGATCCAAAATATACCTTCCAAAATCTCCCACTAACCAAACTGTTGGCTTTAGTACTAGGTAGAACCCAAATAACAACCAAAACCTACTAAATCTAAAACTAGATAAAACTAAAATATCACCATTTTCAAAGTTAAGGCCAAACTTTTTCATACTCCAGTGGATCCAAATCCACCAGATCCTCTCACAGTTGAATCAAGATCATCCACCTCCTCAACATCTGGAGTCACAATTTTCTGAATAATAAGCTGTGCAATCCTGTCACCAGCCTTGACTTCAAAATCAGCATCGGAATGGTTGAACAAAACAACCCCAACTGGCCCTCTGTAGTCTGCATCTATAACTCCAGCTCCAACATCTATCGAATGCTTCCATGCCAAACCAGATCGAGGCGCTATTACCAAACAAAGAATAAAAAACACCAGAAAACACAAGTATCAGTCCTGGTAAATCAGCTCTTTGAGGGTGCAATGGAGGAAATGATTACAAAGTAATATAGGAAATAACAATAGTGTTTTATAAAGAATGTGTACAAGTTAAGTTACCAAATATTGGAAATTAATTTCGTCAAAAATTGTTTTCCTGAAAAATATCTCAAAAACGTCGAGGAAATTACCAATACGAGCATAGGCTCCTTGAGGAACAGCTATGCTGAGATCTGTGGGTATCAACGCCTTGCCTCTAGCGGGTACTTTAGTCTCTGCAGCACTGTATACCGAGAAAACAAACAATTTAGTAAAAAGATAAATCATTTTGCTAAATGGGTTCACAAAGTTACTGGGTGAAAACCTGAAATCGAACCTGGAAAGATCATAACCAGCAGAAAGAGGGGAAGCTCTGGAGGGTAAAACAGCGTTTTCAGAGAGTTTCTTGACTCGGAAAAAGGGGATTTCAGGGACAACACCGTTCTGGGGTTGGTCCAATTTCTGGATTTTGGGACAAGGCTCTTTGATCTCAGGGGAGTTTATATCATTTTCTGCCATTTTTTGGAATTTGGTTTGTAGAAGAAGAGTTTCTGAGAATAGAGAAAATGCAAGGGTTTTGAAGAGTGAGCGGGAGGTTTATGTAGGGGAATTTTATCCGAGAAAATTGGAATGGCGCCAAATATTCCCGCCTTTTTCTGTATAGGGAAATCCCATTTGTTCCAATTTCCACCTACGGAGTAGTACTATTTTTTTTATTCATAAACCAAAATGAAACTGCAATTAAATTTTGAGGCTGCTTCGAACTCTATATAATATTCAATCAAAGGCCTTAATTTGTTCCTTCTTTTTTTTTTCTTTTTGAAAGTCTCAATCTCTAAAGCTGGTATGCTCAAGTAACTTAAAACATGGTACAAACGTTTTTGTTTGTAAGTAGAAGCACTTAATATTTATTTGGTCAAAGGGACGTCATATTGCTTTTCTAGTGTCCTTGTAGATTAAAAAAAAACGAATTTATCAATTCCTATTATAAATCTCACTTTACCTCGGAAAATATCAAATCAAACTCTTGTTTTTTTGGTCTTTAACCGAGCAATTTATTTCCTTCCTTTTTCCCCATGAAAAGGAAATAAAAGAAGAGTAAAATAGAACCAAAACCAATAGCAGCTCAATTTACGGCAAGCAAGTTAACGTGGTGAAGATTTTGGGGGGTGGGGGGGGGGGTGGGGGGGTTGAGTTACAACTTACAAGGGACATTGTCATCTTAGATGAGAAAGCATAATGTATAGTGTGCCATAAACTGTATAGAAGATCTGAACAGCAATTCACATATAAATGTAGGATACAAAGTTACAAACAATACTAAGAATATATTGGAGGCAGTCCGATACTAACTCTAAAAGAATAAGGTTGGTTCTAAAATACCCAGGAGAGGCTCTGGGAAGCCTTATAGCTTGATATCTTGATACAAAAGAATTTTCAGTCTAGTTTCCGTCTTACAATGGCTGCTAATATACATACAAAGCCTATATCTACGTGCTGTTGCTCTACGTGTGCTTGAGCTTCATTTCTTAAGTTTGTAGCTTAATGGAATACTTGAGGAGAAGTATAAAACTCAGTCTCGATAAAACCCGGTCTCAGATCTTCTTCACGCATGAACTCCAAAGGAAAAGAAACAAGATGTCCTTTGACTGACTTTAACCTCTCATTCGTATTCACTACAGCTGCTAGCCCATTATCGTGAAATTCAAGTTTATCAGGAGCGACACCTAAATCAATAGTAGTGTGCCCAAGCTTATCTTTCCAGTGATTCCTACATTGTCGAAGTTCAGATCTGCATTCCAGGATGACATTAGATAACATAAGCAATTGAGCATGATCAACGAGTTATATCTACCCCCCGCCCACCCCCACCCACAAAAGAGAAAAAGATAGAGGTGGAAACTCAGTGTGTGGTTGTCAAGTACCTTGAGTGAACAAGATCATTTGGGATGCAAGAGAACACGTCTTGGTAAATTGTGGAATTCGACTGTAACGTCAAAAATACAAAAGGAGTTATTGAAGCTTTGAGATGAAAATCTAGGTGACCAAATTGTGCAAGTCTGGACAAGATTTCGCGCATGGCATACATAGAAATGATATCTGTTAATGGGCAGTTATAGAAAGACCAACTAAATAACTAAACCAGAAAAGAAGAGTGATAATGAAACTGCTGTTATACCAGAAAGCTTTCTTCCTATGTTAGTATGTCCATGCATCACTACCAAAAGATAGGCATAGGGCAGAATTTTATTTTATTTTTTTCCTTTTCAAGAAGTAGTACAATCTTGTTTTCGTATTTCTTTTAACACTTAATATACAGTAACATAAGAAACACCAGTCTCACATCTGCAGTTGCCATCCATATATCTTTGTAAGTAGAGTCAGCTACGGGATCTTTGATTTGACAAATCTGGAAAAGAAAGGATGGCCTTTAGTTGCTATATCTCGAAACATATGCAAATAAAAGTATTGCATGTCAGGGCCAACAATGGCAAGTGCCAAGGACCTCAGACATTGCTAATTTTTAAGGAAGATATGGCGACATCCAAGAGAGGAAGTTTTAACAGCATTCAAAGTCTGACTCTGCAACATCACTTACCTCTTCAGCATGTAAACCAAGGTGCTCTGCCCACAAAGAAATCCGAAGGCTAAAAGCAAATTTTCCAGCCTTCCAAGGCTTTCCGTCCATGGATGAATCAACGAAATCTTTATCTTCAATGACTACACAAATCTGGAATCACCGATTTTCTCAGAATTTTCCTTTTTTCTAAAAATACTTTTTTTTAATCAAATGTTTAAAAGCATCTAAGAACAAGATGCTGCTTTTGCAGATAATTAGCGGAAAGAATTCAACTGCAGATATCCAATGTCGAAGTTAATATGTGCAGCCTCATGCAATTGAAAATATGGAAAGGTCATACTTATCTTTTGACTATGGACAACTTTCATTCACTAGCAGCATGCATGGTATAAGCAGCGTAAATGAATGAACCAACTATGTAAATCGACAGCCAGCAATTCAAGGTGGAAATGGGATGAATTTACAGTTTCCCGTGATAGATGAACAAATTCACAAGTGAAAGCAGAATTTATGCAGGTAAACGCCATATGTGCTTTCTTATTTTTGTGCAGCTTCTAGAGTTTTACTTCTACTTACAGGATAAAAGCATTGGTTAGCCCTAAAAGCTGTATTCATTCCTGTTGTTCTATTTAAAAAGTTTCCTTCAAAGAAGAAAAAAGTCTACAAATTCTAAGTGACAAGTTCTAGTACACTACATTAGACTGGTAGCAAAACAAAAGTCCACAAGGGTTATAACTGCTTGACTAACAATTATCCCCATATTTATTTGTCTTACCACCTTTATGAACTTAGACAAGCTATTCCAGGGAGTAATGCTTGTTTCTCTTCTTCTTCAAAGAGGAAAAGACTATCTTATAGAGACTAAGATTTCATGTTCTTCAAATCCTAAAAGCCTAGAACAGTTGTCCTACAGAAAAAAGATTTACCTCAGAGTCGCGAGATCCAAGCAAACTTCTGTCATTTATGTTAGATGATCCAATCAAGGCTATACGGTCATCCACTATCATCACTTTACTATGTACATAGACCTGTGGTGAAATTTGAGAACTTTAGATGCAATGGAACACCAAATCTCCGAAGTCCAAACAATCAATATCAAGAGAACTTGCAATACTACATGATGCATGTTAGAAAGTCAAGAGAAAACATTGAGAAAAGATGATGAACATTTCCTACGGATAAGTAGAATGAACTGATATTCAAGAATCGGAAAAAAATTCATTTTCAAACTTTGGCCTAGTATTTGCACTAATTTTCTTGGAGGCTAAAGTTGATCTTACAAATATTGCATTGACTGGCTCTTAGCAATTCAAAGACAATAATTGCTAATCTATGGACAATCTTACTATACAAGTGAATTGCAGTTAATTGATTTGTAATTGTTAGCTCTTTAAGAATTACCTGACTGGTGAACATGGGGCCAACATCAGAAAGCTGGCCATATGTCCTGAGACCATAAAAAGATATGTAATCACGGGTTTCTGGACCCAACAGAGCATTAAGATTGTGCAATATTGAATTGTTGCTCTTGGAAATTGTCCGGTATTGCCAGTGCATTAAGGCTCTCACAGTTGCTGCCCCAATGTCATCTAGACCTCCCTGTAATTTTGAAGCTAGATATGAAATGTGAAAGACCAAAACCAACTTATAGTCAGTCCCCGATGTGAAGGGAAGATGCCAACCTGAAAACCAGGTAATAGTGGGATGACTATTATAACCCTGAAACATCTATTTTCTTTGTGTGCTCGCCGTATACGTCTGTATAAAGCATCAGCTACACGATTGCGTATAGTTTCATCTCCAGCAAGACCCGAGATAAAAAATTGATTCTGAAAGTTTGCAACAAAAAAAAAGGAGTTTCTTTTAACACCATTAAGTGAGCTTCTTTACTAGACTTTTGCACATAAAATCATAAAACATCAGAACTAAGAAAAACAAAAAGTTTAAGAGAAGACAACAGGAACCCTCTAAATTCGATTGTTATCAGTAGTTAGGAAAACAAATCACAATTTCATATTGCTTCTCAATGAAAATAAACGATAAATGTAATCTTCCACATTTGTGGCTTGACGTAGCTACTTGGTTAACAAAAGAATCAGTTTTGAATCACGATTGACGTCAACCATAATTGTCATAGGTTCCAGCTCATAAACTACTAGCTAAAACTTTGAGTAAGCTAGCAGCTGGAAAAAGAAAATGACAAAAGTTCGTCATCACTAATTCAACAAGCTGAGAGAAAGAAATTGCTGGAAAAAGTACAGAAGCAAATTTGGAAGATCAGGTCAACTCATGCTCTCATTGTTTGATATGTATAGGCTGCTATAATACGATAGCAAGCACGTGTGAAAACAGGTATGTATTAATCAGTCAGAAGCTATCAGGTGTTGTACTATTTAATTAGTGGCTATATGTGACAGAGTGTATATAAAGGCCATTAGCAAATATTATGTCCAGCAATCCTCCCATATTACTTGGAAAGTTAGAGGAGTCTCCTATAAAAGCACACACTTTCTGGGGCTGAAGAAGATCAATGAACACAGAAGAGAACGTCAATTGACTCTTATTTGTGAAGCTTCTTGAAATTGTAATGACTTGCAGATGCACGTTCAGACATGTGCTTCCAAATAAAGGTGTCATGCTATCTTGACATCCCCTCTCGAAGGAGTAAGAACAGTTAACCACATACTTTTGTGTAACTCTATCAGTAAAAGGTTGATCCAGCTTGACTATAGTGTAGGGGTAACTTTAGGAAAACGTTTTCCTGGTAATATTAGGCTATTCTTTTAAAATTACTTTTTATTGCTTGTACCTTCTACTTGATTCTTTTGGGACCACAGAGTGTTTTGTCAATACTTAAGCAATCAGGGAAAACATAAAGGTGTTTGACTGAAATTTTGAAGGAAAGACCAGATTGTTCCTTACGACCTCTTTTCCAAGTTACTGGGAGTGTTTAGCATAATTATTTATGATTGTACCTTATTCTAGCTTCCAGATTTCCATCAGTTTGTTTTTTTCCATGGCAAACTCACTTTAAATGTACAAACTTGTTATAGTCCTTTCTCAATATTTTTCTCTAGCAACTGCTGAATGGAGTAATGGTGCAGTCTGAACAAGATGTGTACACTTTGTGACTTGATAGTAACAACAGGAAACCCACT